TCTCCTGGATCAGCTGGGGATTTTTTAGGCGCCTTTCCAGGTTTGACAAATGTCCAGCTGGGATAAACACATCAACTCAGGGCTTCTTTGATATGATGTTCTTCTGCTTCCCTAGCAACTGTATCTATGGGAATGGTGTTTACTCTGTGTTGTAGCGTCCTGATGACACCTTGACGAAATGAAATCTTAAATACTGAAATGTATGCTTTGGTTTGTGGTACACGTGGAGTTTAAAATGTTCCCCATTACTGACGAAACTCTCACAGTCTATGAAGCCTAGCCTATCATTATTCATATAGTTGGGTTATTTAACATAATCCCTGGTTCTTTGATAACAGAGGGAGGTGTTTCACTATGGGTATCGCCTTGGCGTGACTGTAGAATATATATAAATATAATGGAAGTGCTGGATATACAGTCTGGCCCAAGTCTTCAGTCAGAAAAACTGCAGCAGTCCAGGATTAACTGTCTTTAATTAAGCTCCACAGAAGATTCTTCTGAAGAACATCAGCTTGCCAGGCTTAATCCAAATGCAGTGCAGCCATACGTGAACTCATTGTTGTAGAAGATACAGTATATGTGACTATAAGCATGGTTTTCTGGAAACAGAAACAGGCAATTCTGTAATTAGTAGAGTCAAAGACAACTAAGAAACAATCCCAACACATCTACGCAACACAGCAATATTTTACCATGTCCACAAGGGGGCACTGTAGACCACAAGTTGGCTAAATAGCACGTCTGACAAGCTGCTAGTAGTAAGGCAAGAACATGGCTAACAACAGTTAAACTAAACCATAAACAATTGAAAAATCCTTTAACCGCTGGATGTAATCATCACCGGAGATTCTGACCACTGCTACTAACTCTGTACTAAATAATTAAATAATTCCACCAACGTGGTATCACTATACTGAGGCATAACGTCAACATTCACAAACAGCTGCAGCCATCATCATACCAGCTAACCTGACAGAGGGAATAACACTTACAGGTTCATTAACGCACATGTAATCACACAAAACTCTCCCTCTGCTGAGCACATGACCACTGATGCGCTTATTCCTGTTGGGTGCGCTTGATTCATGCCTCTAGACATCCTGAGGCCA